CTGGACTTGTGTCCTTTCCCAGTGGCTGGACTAGTAGTGCCGCCCTGGTCTTGTTCTTGTCTTGCTGTACTCCTTTTGACTGGTCTTTAGACCCTTGTCTCAGTGGCTGGACTAGTAGTGCCGCTGAGCTGCTTGTTCAGGATTTGCCCCTATGCAGTCTAGGGGGTGTGTCAAATATATGTATAACTCATATTTGTATAGACTGTATAGGGTCACCTCTTAGAGGGTACAACACTCTTAGGTATATACACTTGTTCTCTCCCTCTATCCAATTATTCAGTTTTTTCTTTGAGACGAGGGCCGTGAGGACGGGCGCGGGGGCCAGCTAGGACGGGCGCGGCGGTCGCAGCTAGGACGGGCGCGCGGGCGCGGGTAGGGCGGCCGCGGGGGCGGCTAGGGCCTAGGGCGGAAGCATGGGGGCGGCGGGACCTACCTACTGCTGATACCAACTTAGAACTGAGAATGAATGGTTCGAGAACATGGGTACAAGCATACATATCTAAGGGTTGTACTCTCTAAGAGGTGACCCTATACAGTCTATACAAACATTAGATATACTGATGTTTGACATCCTGCAACACCTGTCAAATTATTACATTTTCATCTGTATTCTACAACTGCTTCATTTCTTACTTTCTATTTATTACTGTATGCTTATTTCTTTTAATGAATCACTTGCTCATACATACTAGAGCAAGGGTTCAACTCAGGGCCTCAGATTCGTTTAGAGGTACCCTGATCAATCAGCCATCCCCCCCTACTTTCCCCTGATATGTCAGTGTTGATTGTAAAAAAAAAACTGTTTCTTCAGTGTTAATAGGGAAAAAAACTCTGATGATTCAGTGTTTACTCTGAAATTTACGCTGAGGTGAAAAAAACATTTAATCAACCACAAATTACACATCGTTGACAGGGCTCTCCATGGCTGCTGCTGCTGTCTCTTCCTGCTCTCCCTCAGCATTCACATCCTCGTCCATGTTCTCTTTTCCTTTCTTGCTCGCCGTGCTCACTTTGACCGTGCCGAAGGGGCGTCTCTTCTTATACGCCCGCCAAATCTGTACTACAGCGTCCCAGTCCGGCGAGTAGTCTAACAGGGACAAGCACATGAGATCACCTAGCCTAGTGTCCTTCAGGCTATTCCTCAGCCAGCTCTTGATCACGTTCTGGCGGGAGAATCCGCGTTCACACTCAACGGTGCTCAGAGGCAGCACCGCCACAGCCACCCACAGACCCACAAGGTTGGGATACTGGTCCTTTAAGGCAGCGGTCTTCAGCACAAATGACAGCGCAGCATGAAACTTCTTGTCACTCTTCGGGAGACGAGCAAGCATGGGGGCGAAGTGTCGCAGCTCTTTTATCGCCAGGCGTTTGTCAATGCCTGAAACACATTTAGACACGAACGATTAGGGATAGTTAGTTCGTTACAAGGCTGGAAAGACGAGGAAAAACAAGCCACAAACGAAAGCATAAGGCAATAGGTTAAAACAAGCATTGCACCTGGCAGAATTTCGTCGGCATCCTCCGCGCGAAACAGAGTGACGAGTGATTGGAACCACTCGACACACTGAGCCAGCCTCGCTTCCCGCTCCCATTTCTCTGGCCACTGGTCGGCAGAGAAAAGGCGAACGCCGCTCAAGGAATCCAGATCTCCAAGACGCTCCTGCAGGTTCCTGGCCATGTCTTCGGCAACCTCGGTGCACACGTCGACGCAGCCATTGTGGTGTTCCCCGTCCTGGGTAGTCGTCCAGTTCGTTGAAATGAAGAGTTACAGTGAAGCGAGCAGGGCGGCCATCAGAATCCGCGCCCTCAACGATGACGTTGGGCGAACCGCCCGGGCCGTGACGGGTGATGAACTGCACAAGTCGGGTCTTCTCGCCGCCTCCGAAGTCGTCGCCGCAGTCGATGTACCGGCTCTCGATGAGGCCGGTTGTGGTGCGCGATCTGCTGCTGGACGCTCGTGTAGTCCAGCTGTATGAATAGAGATGGGGAGACGGGTGAGTAGAGGAGGCAAGAGGACATGGTGGGCTGAATCACAAGTACTAACCTCACACTGCTGAAAGGTCTTGTTCAAGATGTTCAACTGCTCAAGAACATCAGCCAGAAAGTTCAGGAAGAACCAGAAGCGGTAACTAGTGGCGATGGCGTATAACTTGGGGTTGCGGAAACGGAACTCATACAGCATGACGACCACGGCAGGGAGAACAGCAAGAAGACGAAGGATAGCCTCACCGCGTGAAAGCCACCTGATGGCGTGAATACCCTGGAGCTCTAGGTTGGTTGAGGTGAAGAGCTCCTGAAGGTCGAGGAAGCGCTGATGCCAAGGCCCCGATCGCCCAAGAAGCTCGGCAAGCTGGCGGATGAGATCATCTACCATGGAGAGTGCGGGGATGTTCTCCGCTGCCGCCTTGACAGCTAGTGCCTCCCTACAAACATAAAATAACAAAAGTGTAAGTATCGGTACATATATACAGTGCGAACAAACATGCATATAAAAAACCATACTAATTACCGATGTGCGATGCAGTGGCACGACACCAGGTGGGGGATGTGGACGCGCAAGCGCGCTACAAGCCCCCCCTTAGCACCCATCATCACAGCTGCTCCGTCGGTGCTGATGCCTGAAATCCGACGCAGGTCAACCCCAATGGCACGGATGTGGGAGAGGAGGAGGGCAAGAAGCGATGCGGCATCAGCCTTCTCGACTGTCAGCAATGTGAGGAACTCAGTCACAAGTCTCCCTTGGCGGATGAACGTGGCAAACACAATCATGTGTTTGCCACGACAGCGGTCGGTGCTCTCGTCAAGGCTCAGGCCGATGAAGGGGCTTGTAAGAAGATGCTCAAGCTGAGTGGTTTTGGAGCCAGGTTGCCATAGCTTGAGTAAACTGTCCAAAGCCATACCTGTAAAACAAGAGGCAAATGGATAAAATGAAATGACATGTATAACAAGAGAGCGATACGGTGCAGCGAAACACGGAAGGTAAATGGATGCTTACGAGTTGTAATACGTCCCGTATCCCTTCTCAGGGAAGCCCCTCGTCTTGCGTTCCGCCAAGTAGCGGACGAGATTGATCCAGGTTTCCATCGGCTCATTGCAGCGGCTGCTGAAGTGGAGCGCATCGCAAAGTGCAGTGACGTGCAGTTTCTCCAAGTCCTCTGCAAGCGGGTGCAGGTCGATCCTTTGCTGTTTCGTCGCCATCTGCAGCAGATCGTGTTGCTTCTTCTCGGCAAGTTGATGGCGACTCGTAGCAGCATGTCGCTTGAAGGCCTGGACTTGCACATCGGTTGCCCCTTTGCCACGCCTGCCTGTTTTGCCCTTCAAGCCTGCATGCTCGGTACAAAGACTGCACCTGAAGGCGGGCATGCCACAGTCAGTCTTTGTAAAAAGGAGCCAAGGGTATGAGCTCGACCAGCGTGAATTATACTTGTCTAGGGCCTCGCCGTATTGCTCGTCAATAGTCAAGTGCCTCTTACCGCCAGCCTTTCCTGGGAGGTCATCTTCTGCACCTTCGTCCTCGGACTCGGAAGACGAGGGCAGGTCGGGCAGATTGACAGGTGGCGCGAAGGGGAGTCGTGATTGCCGATACTTTCCTAAGCGCTTCGACGGGGTAGGCTCGGGCAGTCGATTGTCAACAGCAGAAGCGTCGCGTTGTGCAGCAGTCGATCCCGACGGCCCAGCGATAGGCGGGACAACAGCGTGCTTTCTGGCTCCCTGAGTTCCCTCAGGCAGCGATGTTGGCTCGTGGTCGGCAGGTCTGGGAGACGGGCCTTGAATACTACCTAAAGAAGCAAGGAGTAAGTCTAGGCCTGTGCGCATATCGCCTTCTAGGATGTGGCAATCATCGTCCTCTGTGGCGAGCTCGTTATCACCACCTGATTATGCCATCACGAGCCACGGCAGAACCAGGCGTGATAAAATCAGTGGCGTAGCGGTTCTCTGACAACGCAGTAACAATTCTGGAAGAGGAACAAATGAGGCTGGTGAGGGGTGGGACGGTGGTGGTAACGAGCCTGGGAGAGAACTTGTGATGGGCTGCTTTCATAAAACAGGCGCGGCAGAACCTTCGTTCAAGGGGTCCCACGAACGCGCCGCGCGCACCTTGCCCAACATGCATGGCAAGGTGGGTAATGCGCGGTTCAGGACAGGCAGGTGGGTGGTCGTTGCCATCCAGTCCCTGCCGCGCTGTTACATCATGACGCGCCGTGCTGCGTCCTCAGAATAGCTGGGATTGGACCGCTTGTCAAGATTTTGGTCAATTGCCAATGGGAGCATTCAGTCACCCATGTGCTGGCGCCAGCGGGAGTCGAAAAATCGTCAAGTGCCAATCAGAACAGTCTGACACCGAACAGAACATAACAGACTGTTTCTGCAGGGCCGCCGTCGGGCGGCGCGGTGGGCAAAATAACGTGATTGACGGGAGCCTCCCCAGTCAGGTACCGGTGATTCCGGGGGAGAGGGAAATGTTGAGTGACCCGCTGGGGTTGCCCTTGAGATCCTCGGGGAAGGGCCACAGGTGCAGAGCCTGGGGGGCTATGGGCGCACTTACCCGCTATTCAACAAGCCCTTCTAAACCCAGTGGTTAGTGACTGGGTTTCTGACAGGGAAACACACTATACTCGGTTTCAGCGTTCCCCCCTAGAGTCACGCTGTTTCGTCAGGCTACAGGTACAAAAAAACGCTGAAAAATCAGTATACGTTACGAAAGAAAGGCTGATTTTTCAGTGTTACTTATCCAAAAAAGGCTGAGTCATCAGTGTGTACCCTAAAAAAAACTCTGAAAAAACCCTGAATCAGCGTAAAAAGGCTGATATCTAGGGCCCTGGTTCAACTATTCAACACTTTCCGCTGCACTACTCAAGCATTTCATACAAGTGGGACTTTGTCTAAGAAAAGATATTGGGGCTTTTCTCAGCCCAACACTTTCGTCCTAACTTCCACCAGGCGGTGCTCTCTTCATCCTAAAACACCACGGCCATTTTAACTTTCAGAATTTCGGAACTGTATGTTCCACGCCTTTAGAGACTTGGTACAGGGCACAATTACAGCATCTACATTATATGTACTTCAGAAAAAGATACAATAATGCTTCTGACAGTTTTAGCCACAGCAGGAAGGTGGTTAGTAGCTCTACGGTGTCATGGCCCATGCATCATTGAAGCAACCAGCCACGTAACAACTGAATCACCCACAAGGTTCAAGCACTGTCTGCGCCTGTGTCCATTGTCGCGTGATTGTTGTATAGCTGCTGTGTCAGTCAGACAAATAGATACCAGAGAGCCAATGAAAATTTACACCCGACGTATATGGGAACCCCAATCACAGGGGCCTGCTGAGCCTCCGCACGAGGACAGCTTGGCGTATAAAAACCTTGGGTTAGTTTGTGAGCGCTTCAGGGAGGAAAGACGAGTTAGTCAGCCCAATCTTGGACCAGTGAACGATGAGCAACCACTGCAAAACCAAGGCAGAGAGAAAATGTAAAACGTCAATGTAGATTCTCTTGCACAAATGATCTCACAAACAGGTGTGACGTATGGGGGGACGGACGTACATGAATGTGGTGAAGTCCTGCTGCGACGACAACAATCGCTGCACACCATGAGGAGAAGGCGAGAGCGCCTACCACGGCGACGCATTTCGTCACAACAAAGCCAGGAACGAACCCACCTAGCAACACTGCACCGACGTCCCACATGTGGCCGGAATCAAAACGTCTGCGACTCCTATACGGGCCTTCCATACCTTCCATCCTAGTTGCGCGTCAGCCTTGCTTTCTCTCACAGAAGAAATGTTTCTGATTGAGAATGAGATCATGAGTGACGATGGAATTCGATAATACTTGACGAGTAGCAAAAAAGTCCCACTGTTGGAAATAAATGGAGAACGAGCTGGAACGTCTATCATTTCGCCGCAGCATACGGAAGTCAGTAAGGCACGCTGCAAGCGTCCAATCATCGCGACTGCTGCATTGACGCATCCTGAATTCGACCGAAGTTGGAGTTGCAGCGCCGAGCCGTGCGCTGGAGCAGGAAACGGGGTTCAAACTTGGATGTATTGAACAGCCCTCAAATTGCGGCGTGCTTTCGGCAATTTGAGGTCTCAGGGAGCGATGTTCCAGGTGTGGGTAGGACCACACCGGACACGTCAGCCCAGCCGAGTGGGCGTCTCCTTTCAAGTGCCTTTGGGCTTTCGGGGAAGCCAGCTGCTGTTTTTGGCGAGAGTTCCACCGCGGAACTTCCGCTCTGTAGCCGTCAGGTTGGTCATCTGTCAGCTGAACCTGCGCGCGAGGAAAGCCATGGGCACCCAGATTCTGCAAAGACCGGGGGCGCTGTTGGTGCTTCATTGATTGGCGGACGGTAGAGTGCTCCAGAGATTGTGGACCCGCTGTTGCAAACTCTGATTTCCTCTGAATGTAACTTGATTCGAATTGGGGTTGGGGATGGGTTGGATACGAGTTGTTAAAAATGCAAGGTGGTTTAGACGAGAATACACAGCTACAACGCTTCATAAATTGCACGTAGAGCGGCAACTACATCTTCACAAACTTCACAGGTTGACTGCAGCCAAGGATAACCTGCTTCTGCACTCCGCTAACTTGTCCCATTCCATAACGCTTATCAATTGAACACATGAAAGCTTTGCCAGTACACGAATAGAACGGTCAGCGAGTGAGTCAAACATGAGGCCATCGTAATTTCCCCGATAAAGGACCCACCAATAAGAGCGTATTCCTACGGAGTGGTGTTTAGTACCAGCATAGGAAAATGGGTTTCTGAACACCGTGATTGACAAATCTTACCGAGTCCAATACCAGGAACACTGTTGCATTTCCTTCCTATTACCGCGCAGGTGCAAACGCGACGACGGGCACCCATGCGATCCACCGCAGGATCTTACCCCGGTTACGCATGCTGGCACAACCATGCTATGCGCCACTCTAAGCGAGTGCCACGAAAATGGCATGCAACGCATAAAGGGCTTGTTCACGAGGTGGATGATTGCCTATCGCGAAGGCTTGGATGACGCCCCGCGCCAGCCACGAGCCCGGCTCCCACTCGAAGTCCGCCATGACACCCCTAGTCCATCATGGGTCGAGCATAGCAAGGTAGGGATTCCACTTCATGTTGAATGCCCGCATCCTAAGCTCGCTCATGCCCAACACCATATTGTACAGGACCACGACGCATTAAGTTCCAGCAAGGACCCTCTAGAGGCGACAGTCATTTCGCCCCGCGAAGAGTCGCCATCTCCCCTTGAAGAGCCCAATAGCCCTTTCTATTGCCATGCGGGTTGCAGACAGTGCGTAGTTAAACATCTGTTGCCACTCCTAGAAAAGCCACCCCTGTGTAGCATGAAGTAGGGTGAGGCAAAAATCCTTCAAGGGATACGCAACATCACCCAGTAGTTGGTATGGTGCTATTTCTCCGCTTGCTAGCCTCTCGTATAGTTTTGAAGTTTTGAAGCCCCTGTTCTCGTGGGCGCTTTGTGGGAAGCCAGTTAAATAATCACAAATCACACCACGGGCATTGCAGGTCAATTGTAGCTGTACAACATACTCCGACTTACGCCAGAAATAGTCTGCACGATGAGCATCAATACCCCTAATTTGAATATGTGTGCCATCCACTGCCCCAATAACCATGAATATGCGTGCCATCCACTGCCCCAATAACCAAGGGTATACCCTTGATGCTTTGGAATTCGGCGGCCATTCATGCCATGTCCGCGCGGAATGGGAACCACACCGACTCACGCCTAAAACACCCGAGGGGAGTTCATTAAAAACAGATTAACGAGCATGTGGCACAACGTCTTCGTTACACCCACCAACATAGAGATGTCGGCAAATGTCATGCCAAACGCAAAATACTTCACCGGGATTAGGACCGCGACTGGTTCGGAAATCATGGAACGCATCACCACCGGGTATAGTATGTGATGCAAGCCCGCCACAAATATGGTATAGAATAGTTTTTTTAATCCTAAACGCGTCTCGGAATTCATCCTCTGTCATGTTGTCCACTTCCTCGACGAACAGATCAAGTCCCCGCCATCGCAATCCACCTTTGCAACGGCGTATCTTTCCTCTGGGCGACGGAGGGGTGGTGGTTTCGTCAAGCCTCGTCATACAGTCGACGTACATGATGCACGCTCGCACGTCGTTCTCGAACCAGATATTGTAGAACCGGCTGTAAAACACATCGAACAGCTGCGCCATCAAGACTGCAGGGTCGGCTGGATCTATGGGAAACATTGGCGTAATTTGGGGTAGCAAGAAATGTGTCTGTGGTGATTGCGACAGAATTGGGCACCTGTTTGGATGCACCCTGGTTTTGTGCTCGCACTCACATGTCTCCCTGGGTGCGTTGCATTTGAAGGTTGAAGGGTGGCAAACGAGCAGCTACTGGTGGTAGTACCGTCCACCTGGTATGGGCTTCTGACGCCGCGCATGTGTTTGGGATGTAAATTTGGCTTTCTGGGCAGCGATGTGCACTTTTCATTTGGCCAGGCAACATTGCTCACCGTGGCCAATTGTTTCGCACGTTTGGTCGCCGAGCCCACGCTTGCGAAGCACCTTTACTGGTACTATACACTGTCCTGTAAATCGGCAAATACATCACGGTGTTCAGGAACATGATTCCCTATGCTGGTTCTAGACACCATAGCGTAGGAATACATGTGAGTCAGCCTCAGATGACTCGATCAAAGTAGCATTTGGGTATTGAAGAGGGTATCCATGTAAACACGAAAAGGATGGCAGCGTCAAAGAGACTGCAAAAGCGGGGCATCAGCAGAGGAAGCGATGGACATTCGATGATCACGAGGTGTTACGTGGCACGCGTCTAGGAGTGGTAGCACACTGTTGCCGAATACATGATAGGTTCTTGAGGGAAACATAAGCGCGCAATTCTCGGAGCACTAGGATGACAGAATCGGAGATCACGAGGAACACCACCACAAGAGGTATATCAATCCGTTGGGAACTGGGTCGTAATATTTCACCATATACATAAGGTGCAACCATAAGGAGGACCACCCACCGACATAAAAACATACTGCACATGAATTTGGTCTAGCAACATATCCTAAACCTTTGCGAAACACACCCTAAGGAACATTCTTCCAAGTATAAGAAAATGCTCGTCATTTCACCGTTGAAGAGATCTTGGCCCACAATAGTGCAAAACTCTAGTAATCGAAACAACGCCCACTCCTAGACGACATTTTTACATTTCATGGCTATCCAGGTGATGAGCCGACACCCAACGAGGGCCCTTTGTAATCTTTGGGTGAGTACTTGTTTTCCTCAAACCGTTCTCATTTATTTGTAGCCCATGGCGGCCCCATTTGTAGGTCCCCTTCACCACCACGTACCACATTCCTTCCAACACCTTTAGCCCCATCTCCACCACTTTCCCTACACCTTATGGCGGCCTTGTTGCTTAAAGCCCCACTTCGTTTCCAGCTGTCGATTTCGTCTTCCAGTTGCTGAACCGTCAATTCCGAACTACTAGACGATCTAACGGTTGTACTTCCTTGTTCTTCCGTGAAGCTGCACTTTCTCATATTTTACTGAGAGTTTTACAATCGGTCCCCCACGTAGGCGTTTCCGAGCCTGTCCCTTCAATTTGCCAGCGTAACTGTGTACCAAGCATTTTACTCTTGGTCAAAACTGTTAGGATTAAGGACGGAGTCTAGGTGAACTTAGGAGCTAGAATTACTCAAATATAAATCCGAAATTCTGGACAGAAAAGTCGTCTTCACAAGAAACGACGTCGACGAACAACTAGCCGTTGGAATGTCGCGAAACTCGGATATGTTGTAGCTCTTAATCTTAGCTACCGTTCCCAATTTGAATCATGTTGATTGATGAAGTATTCGCGACGCTATGGCTTTTGACGCACTAGGGGGTAAGATGTAGGAGGAGAACTTAACTCAATCTCAAAAGGTTCAATCAAAGTTCAAGAATCTCACAAGGAATTAGAAGGAGCAAGAGAAAGGTTGGGATAGAAAGAGAGGGATGAGAGGGAAGGTCCCAAGAGAGTCCCCAACCAAGGAAACCCCATAAGCACAAAGATTCCCTCCCTATAGGAACCTCAACTTTGACCTTTGTCCCTTCCCAACCAATCCATCCAAGTTGGCCACCCTTGCCAACCTAGCTTGGTTGTTCCCAACCAATTTGCAGCTGTTACAGTAGAGTGACAAATTTCCCCAACCCCAAAGGTCCCAACTCCATATAGAGTCACCCCACAACTTCACTTTGTAACCGCCGCAATTGTAACGCAAGCTCATGAACTTTGAATCTTCATAGCTTTCGCGTTCTTGCTCCGAGTGAAGCGATTCTTGTTGCGTCGGAAACATCTTCTCAAGATCTATCATCACAAATACCTGCTCAAACAAAAATAACGCAAAAACATTCCCAACTCCAAACACCACCACACAAATTCTTTCACAGTTCAAACACACATGCGAATTGAAACAAGAGATGGGAGGCAGACAGAATGTGATAGGCATATGATGACATCACACAACAATCTCCCCCTCTGGCTGCCAACCATCAACCACCATACCAACATCTCAAGCATGCATACTCAATGCACACTCATCCCAGCAAGCTTCATGCCCTTCCAATGATCCGCCTCCGCCAGACGCTTGGTGAAAATATCTGCTGCCTGCTGATGGGTCTTCACTATCTCCAGCCGCACCTCCTTATCAAGGAGTCTCCTCACCCAGTGCCACTTAGGCCTTATGTGTTTTGTCAGCCCATGCAGACAAGCATTCTTGGCGAGCTTCACAGCAGACTCATTGTCACAGAACACAACTGTCGGCTCCTCCTGACCAACTCCC